GAATTCATCTGTGCTTCCTTGTTCAAAATCATCTCGCCCAAATTTGTCAAGCGTGTGCCAATCTGTATAAGATTTATTTTCGCCAACTAGTTGAACAGAGACAGTTGAATCTGTTGCTCCTTCTCCATATAACTTAGATGTCTGAAGTGAGTTGAAGAAGTAAAATAAAGTCCGTCACTTTAAATTCAAATATTTTTGTTGAAATTGGGATGAGTTAGAAGCAACTTCCCTTTTTTGATCGGTTTAAATCATTTTACCACATTTATGCCTTCTGTACTAATTGTTGAAGGGATAGTTGTTGAGAACAATTTACATAGTATTAATACGTATAACAAATGTTTAAGCGTCGATACTATAGCATTTATTTGATTCGCTAAATTCTCACGTCTTTTTAAATCGATAATATTATTGAAGTTGATACCCAGGCGGGGACATCAACCAGTCACAAGCAATAGCCGTCATGATAAGATTGGGAGTAAAAGTAAACAGAAGAAAATACTAAGAACCAGCTACGGAATCAAGATTGGACAATAATAAAGGAGGAATGAGTATATATATTGACAGACTACCTGAAAGCTCAATATAAATTAAACGCGTTTTTAAATGATCAATTCTGACAAATTAAATTTGGATGACTTAGAAATTATAACTAACCTTAATCAGTAGCTTGTATGTCACATTTGTCATCCTGTTGATGTACGTTTCAGGTTTTGAACTTCAATCTATGTCGATTATAATGAAATGTCCTAAAATATTATGAAATATAACACCATGAGCTGTTGCAATGATTATACTCACTAATAACTTGTCTTCAACTTCTCCTATCAGCACTCGTGAAAAGCAATGTGAAAAATTATGACGAAAAAAAGCTTAGCAATTTGGTCAGTGTTTACTTATATAAACATATTGCGATGGTGCACCACTAAAACTCCTGCCTCGTCAGTTTTCTTTATAAATATGTTGCTGATATAACACGGAGTCGGCGATGCAAATAATGTCCGTTGCACATTTAAATGAAAAACAGCGGACACCAAATCTAATTAAAAAACACCCTACGCCAATAACTTGTTAGAAATTATGGTAGTAGCAAATTAAACTAAACTTCTGTCAATCCGCAGACAAAGGCCGTCGATGAAATACGAAAAAATCAAAGATGAGGAATTTAATCATTTTGGCTTACTGTAAACATAGATTCAATCGCATCATTTCCTTATCTATAAGCTTCTACTCGCCATTATGATGGATATTTACCTTCATCTTATAACAACATCAATGGTAACAAAATATTTTAATATCATTTCCTAATTATGCACTGCCTGCACTTACGAGTATTTATTGCATTGCTCGTTCGATAGAAATGACCTAGTTTTTCACACCTGTCAACTGTTCGCCTGTAATTAACGACAAAATTGCGCGATTTTCAACTGCAGCGATAGGGGAATATTTGCTATTTCATGTATGGAAATCGCTATCATTTCACTTCGAAATATATTTTGATTACACTTGAAATATTAGCGTATTAATGAATCCCATGCATTCGCTCGTGTATGCCTAACCTGTTTATAATTTTACCTACAAACATATTTTTTTTCTAATTTTCAAATAGGGAAAATTAAGTACGCTCCGGATGGAGATTTACATTTGGCATGTAAATGGCGTGGGGCCTAATGAGGTATTTTCTCTATATAAAAAAACGATTTTTATTTTTGCCCGGATGCTGCTGCAGCTGCAGCTATTGGTTACGTTCACCTGGTCATGATTACCAGTCAGATCACGATTTAAAATGATTATGTCTTTGTCCGGTTTTGTGAGCATAACACATTTGATGCGGAGACTTTCCGCACCATATGGTAGGTGACTATATTCACGTACATGATAACAAAATGGTGAACACCAAAATCGAAATTTTAATAACATTATCGGTTCATCCGAAAATACCCTCACGTAATGTAACTTCGCTCAAACAAAAGTCGCAAGCCTCCACGTAAAGCCTAATATAATAGAGATAAATAAATTGTAAGCAGGCCTCATAAGACCCCGAAACTTATAGTTATTGGGCAATTTTATAATTGATTTGTACGTTGATGGAAATATCTTCGAATTTTAGAAAAGTGTGATGGTATTAATTTATATTCTATTTTTTTCTTTCTCTTTGAAAAAGAGGAAGAAAGTTAGGGTAAAGTCAAGACGTTTGGGCACAGCAATATTTTACGAAAATTGTCTTAAATTTCAATTTTTTTTTATCAATTATCACTTTGGGGGATTGTTTTGTTTGATTTTGATATTTCTCGTCCATCTGTATCAGGTGATACTAATTTCTTCAATTCATTTCCCATATATCCCTTGTCTTCATTTTGATTCTTAATATCGGACTTCTGGTAAATGGCTCCCGATCTCTTGCTGTCTTGCGAAGTGATCGTGTAAGTACCGTGATCGTTTGAAAAATGATCATAATTCCATAATACCGTAATCGATATAGACTGTTATTGTGAACCTGTGCAGAAAATTTTAAAAGTTGTGAATAGTAAAAAAATCTGATTAGACCCCAGTAAAAATTTATTGATTTGTTTATCATTTTCAACTTTAATCGGTAGCAGCCTACCTTACAGTTCCCACGTTCTCCACAATGATTTCGTCCCCAACAAATAATACACGTTGAATCAATAATTGATCCGTATAACATCGGACCAGGTAACCAAGCTAATACTCTGAACGCTAGAAACGTTAATCCAATTGCGTAGGCTTTGTCCATTATGTCGACTACTCTCAAATGTAAAGAGGAATATGAAACGAATTTTCTTATATTCACTTATTCAGCATCGTCAACTTCATAATAGTCGACGAAGGTAATACCTGGCTATCCTTTCACCATTTTTACAGGTCAATCCTCCACTTAAAAGTATCACATTACTGTAATTTGGCGATAACAAGGACAAACAGCATAATTTTTCGTGTCCAGTTGTATTTGAACTTTTTTTTACTAATTTTGGAACAATCATTTTAATTATCAGTATTACCAGTTTGAAACATTTTTGCTCACATATCTACACGATACCCCATTTTTTTTCGAACACGGTGTCAACCTTAAAAGTGTAAATTTAAATCTCGCTGGCCGAGTTCATGAAATCAACAATAATTTCCACGTAAACTAGGTCATTTAACCAAGTTTACAAGATAACACAATAGCGACACCCAAAATAAAAATGTGAATATTATTGTCGGTTAATTCAAAAATACCCTGAAGTAATGTGACTTTGCTCAAAGAAAGGTCGCAAGCCCCCACGTCAAATCTATTTTAATAGTCATAAAAAATTACAAGTGTGTCTAACTCTCGTTGTGCAATAGCGCTTTGGAATCAAATTATTTTTTGAATCCATAGTTCTCCTAGATTGCTTGATGGAACAATGGACGGTTGTAGATTTCATTGCTGTCCGTGTTGACTAAAACTATAATAAATCAGAATTAATTCAGTAATATCTAAATTATGGATTATAATTTTTAGGAATAAACAATTGAATTTTGTTTTTTACCAAAGTCAGTGACATTTTTTACCCAACTAGCTTCATAATTATCACGAAATTACATCTTATCATATCAAGACTCCAAGCGAGTCTTATAATTATGGGCTATTTCAAAATTGATTTATACATTGAAAAAAGAAACTAGAAAACTAGAAATTACCTGAAACTCTGGAAAGTTTTTTTTTTTGGTTTTATTTTATAATTTTCTTCCAGATTGGGAAATTTTTGATAAACAATCCAATAAATTTAGAAACGTTCCTCATTCATTATTTTTCTAGGTATTGTTTGGTTGGTCTTTGATATTTCGTTTCCATTCGCAGGTGTTACTAATTCCGTGAATTCAGTTACAACATATTCTTTTCTCAATTCTGATTTTTGATATCGGACTTTTGGTAAATGACTTCCGATTATCTGCCATCTTGTCATTTTACACATTCACGTGAAGTCATGTCATATTTTCAGGTTGGCTGTGAACTTTCACCCGCTGTCAGTGTCGCTGTAGCATTTTTGCTACAAGATTATAATCGGCGCAATTTGGTTATATCAGTATATCACCAAACACATCAATCTTTACTGAATAATTATATATACGTATATATACTTCCTTATTATTACTAAACACACCGTTGAAATAGGATACCTTGATTAACATATAAATTGTTAAAGTAAAAGACAAGCTGACAACTTTTAAAATAAGTAGAATATTTGAATAAGGATATTCCATTTTCTAAATTTAATATTTTGGTATATTTTCTTATATAGAGTTTATCTATTCATGGATAATCAATACCTTTTAATCGCTGAACATTTCGTTTCGTATTCAGGCGAAGTCAAGACAAGTAACACCTTTAGACTATTCTTATCTGCCTTACATTATAAATTGTTTCCAGCGTTCGTGTTTAGTTACCATTCTGTTTGAGCAAACTATTCCAACTCGAATAACTTCTGAATAAACTGGTAGTAATTCAAAGATTTTGATTAATTTCCATGAAATGATCCGGTATATAAAGTGAAATATTGCGATTCAACCTAAACTTTAGAGCTCTTAACAAATTTCAGTTCAGAAAAAAACAAGTTCAGTTTTCTTTTATCGTTTTATATACATATGGAAATGATTTCTTTATCCAAATAATCATATATCGCCGTGTAGGTAGTTTTCTGGTAAAAGATATTCGTGTGGATATTCTAATTTTTTGTTTCGTTCTTTCATTTCATCTCCAACTACTTTGAGATCATCTACGTCGATGAGTTTTCAGTTCGACGTCATGAGCGACCGTACAAAGTTTTAGTTTCGCAAACGAAGTTTATTACTTCGTCCTCCAAAATTTAAAAATATACAATTTGTGTCATCGATAAGCAAAATAGTTGAATTTCCCAGAATTTGGCTAAGTATCTGGTTTTCGATCGAGAAAATCCGTCCCGATTTAAATCCAGCAACTAGATTCTGCACATCACTTGTCAGTAAATCATCAAACAGACCAATATTTACCATACATATATTCATTTATACTGATAAATACGTTGAAATCCATTTAATTTAAGTAATCTGCGACTCGGTAAAATAAGATATCTTGATTAATAAAAATCATTAAAATAAAAGATAAGCTTACAAGTTTAGCAATAAATGGAATATTTAAAGATACTCCAGTCGATTATTCAATAATTTTTTATGTATACTTTCCGGTATATAGGTTATAAATATATAATTGGAATTGCTTGAAACGACCTGAATTTGTGATGTAATATTTATTCCATTTAAAAAAAAAGCTGAAAACTCCAGTTTGTATATTCAAGTGAAATCGGCGCTCCGGAAATATTCACACAACCTGAACAATCTCGACCTGGTACACATACTATGTTTAGGTTGGACGCCATCGTGGCACCAATACTTTGTGAGCACCGTAAAGTCACTAGAAGCATCATTATCACATCATGGTTGTTTCTCGTAGATAGAAGAAAAATTTCTATTTAATGTTATGATTCATGTTCAAGCAAACTGTTTCAAATCCCCTAATTCCGGATTAAAATTCAAAGAATAATCACACTAAACTGTGAAACTGCTAACGAATTTCAGTTCAAAATAAACAATTTCAGTTTTTCCTCAACACTATATATAACATCACTTTTGCATTGCTTTATCCATATAATCATATATCGTTATTTTCACGCAGTAGTGCCGGTAGGTACTCTTTCTGGTAAAAGATATTCGTATGGGTATTCCAATTTCTTGTTTCGTTCTTTCATTTTATCCCCAACCACATTAAGATCATCTGCAAACTCTTTCAAAATTTTCTTTGGTTCTTCTTCAATAAAAAGATTCATTGGAAATTCTCCAAGATAAACCTGCATAAATTATATATTATATAAGTCAGCATATTCATTCAAATCAGTACGTAAACTGTATTGTTATTATTCGATTTGAAAAATACTCCAAAGAAAAAGATTATCAGAGTATCCGTTTTATCAATGCTAAAATAAATCAAAAAGAAACTCGAGATTACGGTTACACATTAGGTTAATCACGTGCAGAGGAATGTCGGCTTAGTGTATAGTAAACTATCAACTTCTCAAGGGCAACTCTTTTTTCAACAGAAACAAAGGTTTTATATTCTGTATTTTAGCTAATAGCCGTGCTATTCTAAGTGGATGAAAGACTGCATATGTTGAAAAGACGAAAGTGCTTTTTAAAATCCGAATAATATACAAGAATGACAAGAAATCTTGACAACTAATTATCCATATTTTCAATTCAATGAAGCATCCTAACGAATCAATAATGCAAGAAGTCATAAATACAGAAGTCATAAATAAACTGCATAAAAATATTTCAATTTCAGTTAGCATAAGACAGACCCACCTCTTCTTCTGGCAATTCTGTCAAAACGAAGGCACTTCCAAACAAAATCGTTGCCATTGTAACATCAGGAAGAGAATCTAGCACTCGCTGAAGTGTTGCCTGTGTGTAGGTAGAAATTCAGTGTTTAGGTACGAATGAAGTTTATGTGGAATTTCTATGATTATTGTAATTTTCAACTTTTAATTCATCCAAGTTTACAAAAGTACAAACATTATATATTCACCTCGCCTCTTTTATGTATAGGTAGCCTCATTCCGCCAGGTGCATTTGGAATGAATTTGTACAAATCAAACATAGCATTGTGTGTTGCTGAATGTTGAACAGCACTATTGAAGACGACGATTGTGCAGAATTGTACCTGTGACGATTTTACGTGTCAATGCATTAGGCCAGGGGTGTGCAACCGTATTACAGGAGGGCCAGATTCAAGTAATTAGGTGAAGCCGCGGGTCGCACATTTATTTAAGGTATAATTTCTAGTAGTTTGAGGTACAAAAATTGCTTTTGCTAGCTAGTTTTGCTAATATGACAGTGGCACTCGGCTACTGGTATATCTTTGCGACGCAAGGGGATTGGAATTGCTAGCACGTAACAGAATAACTGAACTAAAAACTCATTTCGCGGGCACATCATTCAAAATTGGCACTTTTCCGCGGGCCGCACAATATTTCCTTCTATTTGCCCCGCGGACCGCAGTTTGCACACCCCTGCATTAGGCTTAGGGCATCGAATACAAAAACGTACAATTGACGTTCATAGAATGCGTTATGGCGCATTCGCACAGCTAGGTGCATATAGGTTTAACAGCCTAGTGACTAGGCAGTTATGTGCTTAACTTGCAAAGATAACTTATTTTGACATCCTTTACATCTTTTAACGCTATTCGGCTATTAGTGGTTGTTGTCTATTGCTCTAGGTTTCATTTCAGTGAATCTGAGTTACCAAACAAATATAACAGATATGCAATCAAAAAATGCGTTTTCTAACCAGTTCATCAACACTATTAAGACTGGTCGGACATCCTCTCGTATTTCCATCTGGCCATGCTAATCCTTCAGTTGCGAAGTCATAAATCCACGATTGTATTTGTTCGTCACCACGAACGTCCTGTCACAAACGTTAAAAATGATTTAAAACAATGAGGTATGATGCCTCTTCTTCAGTTTCATTCACAATATGAGGTGTCGTTTTTTCTTCACTCAGACTATTTATATCTTATTTTTAACATGGCCCATCCCAAGTATTGGTTCTCGTGATTGACCACGCATGTTGCTAACAATGATCGGGTGAGAATTGGTTGATAATGAAGATGGGTTTTTCATTGTTGGATTTCTTTCAGAATTTAAACTTGCTTTGGTTTCCATTAATTTTCTCTAGTCTGTATAATGATTCTGTAAACGTTGACACTGATGATTTTTTAATTACCTAACACTAAGATCTATATGCTGTAGAATTATCACAGCTTGTTGTCTGCGAAAACAAAATGCGGTACAATACCTCATCCGCCTTGTAATATATATTGATGACTTTCGAAAGATACTTTTTAATTGCATTCCATAAAGCGGTAGCGTCATCTCTGTAATGGTAGTTCTGCAGAAGATTGTAGTCATCAAGACCTAAAAGAATTTTCGAATTATATATTATATAACCATAACGGATGAATAAAAGGGGTTTAAAAGTTTAAAAGGCGCGTGTATCAATAGAGAATAATTCCGATTTTAAAGTAAGGTAGTAAATAAAATTGAATGTTTGGTGTGAGTTAGGACCCAATCAATTCTTGGATATTGACTTCAGTACAAGCCAATGGAAATTTTTTAACTGTTAAATAAAAATCGACGAACCTTTTTTCTTGAGCAACTTCGGGAGGGCAAAATCGTCAAAGTCGAAATCTTTGAAAACATGCCTTGCCAATGCAGAACCATCTGTGATACAAAAATAAATTTGTTTTATTTTACATATGATACTAAATATTTTACAACATGATTCCATAAACAGACTTTTCTATTTTTTGTTTTTTAGATTAAGAAGTATGACTCTAAAATAACAGACTATAACATGAACTTTAAATCAGGCAAGCTAACGTCTAAAAGGATCATTTAACTTACTTATGGATCTGGTATAGTTTGAAGTGCTGTTATCAAAGATAAGAGTATCTCTTGCAAATTGATTAATTACAACAACATGCTGAAGATGTGGGCGAACAAGCTTGTAGATTGGATGAGTTCGTGATAGATTTCGGAACATTGCTACAGCAGCTGTTTCTGGCAACGCATGTCCCCACAAGAAATGGTATATCCACTGAAAAAAAAAAGCTATTTGATCGCTGTCGTTGCGGGAAACAACTTCACACAATAAAACTAAAGAGTATAAAGTTTGAATAAATCATTTGGCATATATACGCAAGTTTATTTAAATGAAAAAATAATTTATAATCATATAACCTGGTGCACAATGGTATCGGCGCATCGGAAGTACATTTTGGCCAACATCCAGTCGTATCTCTCATCCTTTGGAGTAAAAATGGAATCTGCATTATCTGGTTCTAACTGGATTGCGATTGGGCGAAATTTGCCGTCGCCAGATGAATAGAACAGCGCTGTGACATCCGCACAATAGAGAGGATCTCCAGTTTTATATTGCTTGTTTCTTGGCAGACCTTTAGTCATGTATGAGTAGTCGGCGATGTAAATTCGTCCTTCCTGTATGAATGCAAATAAATGAATTGTAAAACATGCTAAAAAAGAAATGTATTACAAAACGAATAAGATTATTTATAAGTTGAAACTGAAAATATAAAGATTGGGAGTATAATGACATAATAATGGTTTTATGTCGCCACAGTCAATAATTCAAAAAAACACATTCGCTAATTATGACCATTAAAAAAATTAGACTGTAAATAACAGCTCACCTTATATATCTGACAGTAAATTATGAAGAATGTGTTTAGAACGAATATCACTCTCGACTTTAACCTTTAAACAAATTCATTTGTACTCACTTTAATTTCGTCCTTCAACGACTTTCCTTCATTTAAAAATGATTGTACATGAGAATTAGTAATTTTACAGTAATCTGGTAACCCTCTACAACGACTAATTGCAAAAGGGCTTGCACCATTTAACATCTGTCGTCCTTGTTCTTCATCTTCTTCCCATCTTTAAACAGAGAAAACGGAAAGTTTTAACCATGTCGTACCAGAAGCCTGTTATACGACAATTCCGTGGTGTTAGACAAATTTTGCAGGTCTTAATTTCAAAATTCTTGGCAAATTTTATTATAGTTTGAAATATTATTCTGACTTCTATAACAAGACGAAAGTGACGCATTTTGACTAGAAAACATGAATGTGTCTATTTTGTGCTACATTAAATTATGTTTTGAGAAGATTATTATAAAAATAGTGATAATGAGATACGGACATTGCTGATCGTTGGTCACAAAATTAATCGAAACATAATACATAGCGAATTCAACAATCTTATAATACCTTTCCATAAATGGGAGCAAATCTCCAGAGATTCTGAATCCACTGAAGAGATTCTTGTAATCTTCCAATTCCTTGATCGGGAACAAATAACCTAAATAAATAGAATTTACATTACTAAATAAGCACATCAAATAATGATTTTCAATAATTGTTGTTTTGTTTGGGAGCGTTTTTCTCTGCTAAATAGTCGAAAGTCATACGTTATCCTATGAATCTCCAGAAATATCATGCTTATTGGTAAATTTCTTTTTTGACATTTTTGATCAAATTCAAGATGAATTATGAAAGTTAACATAAATAGGTGAATGAATTACTTTGTAACTTTTCGACAAGAGCGTTAAACTTCACAACGTTTCTCATTTCAGACATGTGTTCAAATCTTGCGTCTTCCATTTTCAATTGATGGGGCACGTTGTGAAGATTTTTTGCAGGTGGAAATCTAGGCAACATCCACCCAGGATCTCCCTGTTTTGCCTTTTCAATCCACGCAAATCTTTGTAGATTATTTTCTCGTTCTTCTTTAATAGCCTTTAGCAGTTCATCAGACTTTATTTTTTGGGGAATCAGTCCTGAAAACAAAGGCCAATATCATGGAGCAATCCCATCATGCTTGTCATAGCGTACAGTTTTTTATTGAAGCTTTGTCATAAATGAAAACAACAGACTCTCAACAAAATTTCCATAGAGTGATTGAAACCCATAGATTTCTTCAAATAAGGTTAAATATTGTAATTAATGTTATAATTATTCACTGCCACAGACATTTATTCCGTCATAAATAAAAAATTACTAATAAATATGGAATTCTAATCTGCTAAGGAAAGAGTAACATCCACAATAGTACTGACACATCAAACCAGGTCCCGTAGACAGATCATGAATACTTGGTTGATATTTGTAGTACTGGCACTCACCTTCACCTCTTACAATTACAGAGTTATCAACAACCCAATCGTACAGCGGAAACTCATCAACGTAATTACCATGATGGATTATTACGTTGTCACATGCCCACAAATCCTTTTCTTTATTTGTATGTTTCAGATCTGAATACAAAACAAAATTTTATCATTCATTATGGAATTATGAAATCAACAATATCACAACAATATAAGTAGAATTCAACACGACGGTAATGTTTTTATTTTGTATTTGTAGCACTATTTTATTATTATGATTTTATGATAAAATACAATTTCAAGCAATTTGGGTGTAAATGTCCCTATTCAGAAACCTTTTTGTCACCAACATACATGTGATAAGGACGGATATTACAGTATTATGGTTCCCATTGTCTTGCAGATCATAAAATTTCTGATTAACATTAGTCACGTGTCTGGCAAGAAATCATAGCATAATGAGCGGATGCAGAAAGTGAACGATCTCACGTTTTAGATTTAAGTTCGCTATATGCTAGTTGCGCGCACCTCACCCTTCTCGAAAGTAAAATTGATGTACCAGCCGAAGTTTTATGAGTATTACATTGAAAATTTCAGAATATTTCTAGACCTACCAGTTTTATATGAGTTATACAATATATTTCAATATTTTCTGTACGTTCAAATATGTTGAATTACTTACGGAATCGTATAAACAAGACTCTCCCCACTTCCTTGTCTTCCATCGTGAAGTCATCTGTTCTTCCTTGTTCAAAATCATCTCGCCAAAATTTGTCAAGCGTGTGCCAATCTGTATGAGATTTATTTTCGCCAACTAGTTGAACAGAGACATTTGAATCTGTCGCACCTTCTCCATACAACATAGATGTCTGAAGTGAGTTGAAGAAGTAAAACAAAGTCCGTCAATATAAATACAAATAATTGTTAAAATTCGGATGGTTAAATCTCTACAACAGCTAAGTTTAAACCTATTATTTATCAAGTACAGGCAACTTTCTGCTTTGATCGGTTCAAATCATTTTACCACGCTTTTGCTTTATGTACTAATTATTGAAGAGACGGATGTTGAAAACAATTGACATATATAGTCATATAACGTCAAAGTCATAGTATTCATACGTTTAACAAATGTTTAAGCGTCGAGAATATGATCTAATCATAGCATTTATTAGTTTCGCTAAATTCTCGCGTCTTTTTAAATCATTAGTTATATTGAAGTTGATACGGTAGGCGGGAACATCGACCAGTCACAAGCAATAGTCGTCACCATAAGATTGGGAGTAGAAGCAAATGGAAGAAAATTCTAAGAACCCGCCTCGGAATAAAGATTGGACAAATAAAAAAGAGATGAAAAAATATCGCGACAGACTACCTGAAAGCTCAACATAAATTCAAAGCGTTTTTCCAATTAACACCTCTGATAAATTAAATTTTGTTGACTTAGAAATTATAACTAACCTTAATCAGTAGCTTGTATGTCACTTTTGTCATCCTGTTGATATACGTGTCAAATTTTGAACTTCAATCTATGTAGATTTTGATAAAATGTCCTAAAATATTATGAAATATAACACATTATACTCACGTATAACTCGTCTTCAACTTTCTATGTCAACACGCGCGTTAATTATACATAAAATTGGGGAAAAAAATACGTGAAAAATTATGACGAATCACAGCAAATAATTTAGTTAATGTTTAGTTTTAAACAAATTGCAATGGTTCTCTTGTATGTACCACTAAAACTCCTAGTCAGTTTTCTTTAAAAATATGTTGCTGATGTAACGCGGAGTTGACGATCCAAATAATGTCCGTTGCATATTTGAATGGAAAACAGCGGGCCGCAAATATAATTAATAACAACCGACGCCAATAATTTGTTAGGAATCGTGAGAGTAGAAAGCAAACTTTACCGTCAATCCGCAGAAAAAGACTGTCAGTGAAATGAAATAAAATCAAAGATGAAGCATCAGTCATTGTCTGATATATACTGTAATGTCACCATTTAGTAATCATTTGGTAAAAAAAATTTCAATTACATCATTTCTTTATCAATGAGCTTCTAAACTCGCCATGATGGCGATGCGATTTTTAACTGCACCGATAAGGGAATATTTGCTATTCCATGTATAGAATGCGCTATCATTTCACTTCGAAATATATTATATTTACTAATGAAATAATATTACACTAATGAACTCTATGCATACGCCCGTGCATGATCAATCTGTTTATGATTTTACCTAACATACTGTTTTTTTTTCCAATTTTCAAACAGTGCAAATAACTCCCATAAAAGAGACTTACGTTTGGCATGTAAATGGCCCGGGGCCTAATGTAGTTATACTCGCACGAGTAGAAAACGCCTTTTCATCTCTGCGCTGATGAGTTACTGCTATTTATTACTTTCAGCATGTTCGAATTACTAGTTAAATCACGATTCAAGATGATGATTCCTTTGTCCGGTTTCGTGAGCATACATTTGATGATGGGATCTTCCGGAGCATGTGATCAGCAGATGGGTTGGTGACTATAATCACGTGCTTGATAATAAAATAGTTGATACCAAAATCGAAATTTTGGTATCATGGACGGTTCATTCAAAAATGCTCTTAAGTAATGTCACTTTGCTTTAAGGAAGGTCACAAGCCCTCACGTAAAACCTAATATTATATCAAGAATAAATAAATTACAATCGAGTCTATCAAGGCCCTAAGGCCTAAGCGGATCTTATAGTTATTTGGCTATTTAAAAACTGATTTGTAGATTGAGAAAATTGCTTTAAACTTTGTCTATTCTATTTTTTTTTTCAATTTTTCTTTGAAAAGAAGGAAGGAATTCAAGGAAATGTCAACTCGTTTGGACACAGAAATATTTTGAGAAAAACGTGTTGAATTTTGAAAAGTTTTATTAATTATTATTTTTGAGGATTTTTGGGTGACTTTTATTCGATAGCAGCCTACATTACAATTCCCACGTTCTTTCCCCAATAAATACAAGTTGAATCAATAATTGATCCGTATAACATCGGGCCAGGTAACCAAGCTAATATTCGGAAGTCTAGAAATGTTAATCGAATTGCGTAGGCTTTGTCCATTATGTCGAAATAAAGAGCAATATGAAACGAATTTTTTTTATACTCAGCACCGTCAACTTCATGATAGTCGATGAAGAAAATAACTGGCTATCGTTTCACTATTTTTACTGATCAATCTTCCGCTTAAAAGTATCACATTACAGTAATTCGACGATAACAAGTACAAACAGCATAATTTTTTGTGTCCAGTTGTTTTTGAACTTTATTTTTTACTAATTTTGGGACAATCATTTCAATTATTAGTTTTACCAATTTGAAACATTTTTGCTACATTATCATATCTTCTTGGAGCAGTTAATATTGGTTTGTGGTTACAAAAACTGGCTACTTTTCAAGATTTTGTTTTTCTACTAATTATCACATATCTACACGATACCCCAATTTTTTCCGAACACGGTGTCAACCTGTCAAAGTTTAAATACAAATCTCGCTAGCCGGCTTCATGAAATCAACAATAATTTCCACGTAAACTAGGTCATTTAACCAAGTCAGCAACACTCAATATAAAAATGTGAATATCATTGTCGGTTCATTCAAAAATACCCTGAAGCGAGTCTCATAATTCTGGGCTATTTCGAAATTGATTTATACTCCTGAAACTCCTTGCCTGAAACTCTGGAAAGTTTTTTTTTTTTTTATTATAATTTTCCTCCAGATTGGGAAAATTTTGATGAACAATTCAATAAATTTAGAAACCATTTCTCATTCATTATTTAGTTTCCATTCGCAGGTGTTAATAATTCCGTGAATTCAGTTACAACATATTTCTTTTCTCCATTCTGATTTTTGATATCAGACTTTTAGTAAATGACTTCCGATTATCTGCCGTCTTGTCATTTTACACCTTCACGTGAAGTCACGTCATATTTTCAGGTTGGCCGTGAACTCTCACCGCTGTCAGTGTCGCTTTAGCATTTTTTCTCAATCTTTACTGCATAAATATATATATATATACATATATTTTTTCAATAATACTAAACACGCCGTTGAAATAGGATATTTTGATTGACATAAAGTGTTAAAGTATAAGACAAGCTGACAACTTTGGAAATAGATAGAATATTTGAATGAGGAAATTTCAATTTCTAAATTTAATATTTTGTTATATTTTCTCATATAGAGTTTATATATTCATGGGTACTCAATACTTTTCAAACGCTGAACATTTCGTTTCGTATTCAGGCGAAGTCAAGAGAAGTAACACCATTAGACTATTCTTATCTGCCTTACAGTATAAATTGTTTTCAGCGTTCGTGTTTAGTTACCATTCTGTTTGAGCAAACTATTCCAACTCGAAAAATTTCTGAATAAGCTGGTAATAATTCAAAGATTGTGATTAAGTTTCATAAAATGTTCCGAGATTTACAGTGAGATTTTTTTTTATTTCCATATGTATATAAAATAATAAAAAACTTTTTTTTTTAAATTTGAAATTCTTCTAGTTTTCTGGTGAAAGATATTTGTATGGATATTCCAATTTGTTGTTTCGTTCTTTCATTTCATCTACAAATACTTTGAGATCATCTACGTCGATGAGTTTTCAGTTCTGTACGTCATGAGCGGACCGTACAAAGTTTCAGTTTCGCAAACGAAGTTTATTACTTCGTCCTCCAAAATTTAAAAATATACAATTAGTGTCGTCGATAAGCGAAATAGTTGAATTCCTCAGAATTCGGCTAAGTATCTGGTTTTCGATTTCGATCGAAAAAATCCGTCCCGATTTAAATTCAGCAACTAGATTCAGCACATCACTTATGAGTAAATCATCAAATACACCAATATTTACCATATATATATTCATTTATACTGATAAATACGTTGAATGGATATCCATTTAATTTAAGTAATCTGTGACTCGGTAAAACAGGATATCTTGATTAATAAAAATCTTTTAAATAAAAGATAAGCTTACAATTTTAGCAATAAATGGGATATTTAAAGATACTCCAGTCGAATATTCAATACTTTTTTATGTTACTTTCCGGTATATAGGTTATAAATATATAATAGACCTTATTCATTAAAAACCCATCCTACGCGCAAAAAAAAAGTGATGTAAAAAAATATTTTTTAACATTAGCTCTTATGGGGAATGTGATCACCAGAGCAGAAATTTGCATTTTATGTAATTTTCTAGATATCTTTCATCATATACGTGAGTAGTTTTGAGGATAGAATATTTTTTACATCTTTTTTGATATTTTTATTATAATAAACATGGTCAAGATTTTTAATAATCGTTCATTGAAATTTTAATGAGCGCGGTGTTTCCGATGACGTCATTCTCACTAGACCATGAGATTCTGCCAACGCGCCGTGCTCTGTGGGATATGTGCTCCAACTGCTTGTGATAACAGAATACTGGAATACCGGTACCGGGACCACAACTGGCGTTCAACGAAAGACCTATTTTGGTTTTAATTGGATGTTATATATTTCATGAATTCCATGTACATTTCTGGTACACCTTTCAAAATCCAATGGCCTAACTCAGTTCATATGTTGACGGTACCTACCATGTACGATACCTATCCCAAAATTGGTGATGTTCAGGGCTGGATTTAGACCATGAGAGGCCCCTTCATATTTTTGCGCTCAGAATTTCTCTCTAAACAACACCACATGTCATTGCTTAAAATTTAAAAATATGATAGCATTAAACTTTTCATTCTCCCAATTTTTAATTAAAAGAATGATAATTTACTTGAGGCAGTTTTGCTTTCAATTTCTTTGATCAAACAACCGCTACAGCCATACTTTAACATAGAAATCTACAGCAGAATGCGCATAATAATAATTTCTCTTATTATGATGCAAACGACGCAATAATGGCTGTTTACAATGTGGTTGAAACTTGTTGTATACAGAATTTTCTACTCTGAAAAGCTTGATATACATATATACTTTTTGTAGGGTTTAAACTTGTCCAGTTTTCAAAAGAATTACAAACTTTGAAACCGAATTTCGGGGCTTTAGGTTTCAGCCTGCCTAGCCTATTGGTAAATCCAGCCCTGGTGATGGTCCCTACAGCAAATTTCTGGCCCTAATCACTCAGCAGATTGAAATAAATGGTTTTCAGTATTTAATAGCAAAGATAGATATTTTAATTAAACATATAGTTCAACTTAAAGCCTGTATAATGATATTATAAATATATGTCCCATTATTACTGCATTGTGAGAAGGCTTTCCACACTATCAAGTCTATAAGGTTTTAGCGTCTTCCAATGTCTCAGATGTCTCTTCATTTTGCATATTATTTTCATTAATGCCACTAGCATTTGAAGCTTGACTGATTCCAATGTACCTTTACCATTGTTGTTTAATGTAATATCCTAAACGTGACTTCAAATTTTTTTCTCACTTCAATCATCACATGTTTGAATACCCGAGCTGACTTCTACTGATTTGTTATTAATTTACAATTTTTTTATATAAATTAACTGTCGTACTTGCTAAGTGTCCACTAAGTGAAAATCTACAAAAAAAAGCAGTGTTTAATAATGGACTACATTTTTAACCGAATCCAAAAATATTCCGTAACTTAGTCAACCCTTCCCCCGAGAAGTTTTTGTTAAAACATCTTAATTAACTGTTAATCTTGATAGCAAACATGAGGGGCAGGGGGAGCTGACTGTGATGGTCGTATCGCTCCCCAGTCTATACCGAATAACTGTGTATTTTGTATATGATTTTTATTGATTCAATGCTTGTATTATGGTTGACAAAATAAATCTCCTTCTCGTATTCAGTCATGTTTTTTAAACTAGTTACGAGACCGGTATTGTACCATTATAGGTTGGAGATATTCACCTTTTTTGTATACCGGTACCGTACAACTTGTCCTGCCTATTGGTAAAATGGCCAACATTTTTGTTCGTAGGCCTATTTCAGTATTTACTAAATAATTTAGTTTTCACCTCTTGCAGCCTTGGTACGGTACCGGTAGTTTAAATAACACGTTAGCATGCCTTCAGTAAATGATTCGATAGCTGTACAGGTATAAATGCGGAAAACCAGTAAACAAACGTGATAGAAATGGTACGTGTTATAGATTGTAAATGTTAAACGCTTCCAGTGCCGGACGGACACGGACCCAAAGCGACATTAGGGCCGCATTTGCAGCGCATATCCCACAGATCACGGCGCGTTGGCAGAATTTCATGGTCTGAAGAGAATGACGTCATCAGAAACACCGCGCTCATTAAAATTTTAATGAACGATTATCAAAAATCTTGACCGTGTTTATCATGATAAAAATATCAAAAAAG